TTGTTTGTGGTCCCAGTTATCCGTGCTAGATGATGGTTCAGTGGCCCTGAGTCAGAAAGTCTCAACACTCTCTGGGAGATGGAGCGTTTCCACGGCCCGTTGCCACCCGAGCAGGACAGTATGTGTGACGTTGGAGCATTTCAGTTTTTCCAAAAAGTCTCTTGAAACGTTTACGATTATATTAAAGTTTAAAAGAAACAGAAATCAGATACTGGCAAAGAATAACCATTGGTTTATTCTTGTTATGTTAGACTTATACTATTGTTTATGATGATCAATGACTGTCCAGATCCCTGTAAGTGGTTCAGACAAAACCACAAAGCCGTAGTGGTTTTGTGGTGTTTGGGCACTCCTATATAGGAAACCTAGGTTGGATTCCCATTGCTGATTTTTTCAGTCTGAGGACATGCCTGTCAAAGGTGAGAGGTTCGTGGGTTGTTCAGCAGCAATTTATTGGACTGTTGTCCGATAAGAAGGTTGGTCGATGCAATTTCTTCTGCAGCATAAAAATTGCAGGCCCATTTTTATGGATAGCAATGCTAAAGCTAAATGCCTTATCCCTGGAGGAGGACAAACAAAAGGAAATCTGTACCAAGTATCTAGTAATCTAAGAAGAGATCAAAGAGTGATAGTGTTACAATTACAAATGATGACATGCACACTTGTGCATATTGCTCAGTCATATAGCAGGCATTCATTTAAGGGGAGTTTTTTTGCAGCATACAGCATTGAAAACACTCCTAATAGGTGCATTCATTTTAATATGCTCATTCATTGAGCAGGCCTGATTAATTAGCGCGTGTCACCATCTGGTACTTACTGAGACTATTCATTTTTAAAATGTTGAAATTGTAGGGAATGTTGCACACCAATTAAGTTCCTTTTAATTGGATTATGTTAGTATAAAGTATTACTGAGAAGGCCTTCATTGTGATTCAGCCAGCATGCATCTAAGGGAGACCCGCCAGCCTGAAATTACTTAGAACAAAGGGAAAATGCCTGAAATGCATGTTTATTACTATCTTTGTGCACTCAACAAAGATGATGTCCACAAATAAGAGCCACAAAAATACTTCTGCATTTCTATGCAAGGTTCCGTTTCCTAACGCGAGGATATCTCAGCTGATTACTTCATCTCTGCACTGCAACTCTGAATCTGTCATCTTCTCCCTCTGACCTGGAAAGTGAAATAAGCTTTTGCGTTTCTCTTTGTTTGATATCAACTTAACAGGGCCAGACTGAGCCCTCCTGTGTGCAGTTGTGTATCTGCTGAAACGAGGAGCATTAGTCTCATTTACACAAAGAGTGATTTGGCCTTTAAAGCTGATAAACTGTCTGCGCTAACTCAACCATTTAGTGAATGAAGTATCATGATCTGCTGGCTGCAGCACCACATTAGGAGCAGAACTTGTCTGTCTCTACTTGTTCCTGTCACTGTGACTCACTTGGTGAATTTTAGTTACTTAGCATCACTGCACTGCAGTGTTTCCGTGTATAAATTGTGAATAGTTATGTTTATGAACTTACGTAAAAGGCTTTGAGATACAGGGATGAAATGCACAATGTTGATACTACGTATTTACTGTTAATGCTTTCTTTAGAAGCCTAATGCTGTTTTGTATTTAATGTCTGAGGTTGTTACTGCCTTGATTTTGTGGAAATTGAGTCTCTTCGGGTAAGTTCTGTCATCCAAGCTACTCATTTCAGAAGAGCCAGGAGCTCTGCAGAGTACACATTCCCATTCCTTAGCAGTTAAATGGGCTGTCACGGAAGCAGGGAAGTTATGGAAGAAAAGATACCTAATCACTGTAGCAGCTTAAGAGATCTGATGTGTGACTGCCTGGATCTCTTGTTGACCTTCTTTGTTTTGAAGAGTAGGGTAAGAATCTAGAAATGAACAGTGTCAGGATATTCTTTTTGTTTTGTATTTGTGTGCGTTTTCATTACCTTCAGTGGACTCTGCTGCCCCCTACCAAGTTGCAGCTGCTGTTAACAGCAACGGAAGCGGTAGCCTGAACATGTAAAGAATGTTTTACATTTTTTAATACTGAAAGAAGATTTCATTTCTGTTATCGCTCATAATCACTCTCACTGTAATTATCACTCATAATAGAGAATCTGTAGTTGAAACAGTAAATGTATGTTCTTTAAAGGGAGAGGAGAACATCAGAAAAATCGCTTTTAGTTGTACAGCAATGAAGAAACTGTGTGAATTTTTGTTAGAATACAAATACTGGTTTAGACATATAAAGGCCATTATGAATTTAATTTGCAATAGCATAGGAGTGCTTCTGATTTTAAGTATACAAGTAGCACAATATTGGAATTCTTTTGTCTGTTTTTTTAACATACATTTCCTCTGGTTTGAAGGTGCATACTTCCTCTTTTGTTACAGCTGCAGGCGGTGTCAAAGCTTGCTACAGGAACTGCTCATCCTGCATGTGCCAAAGCCAGTTGGAAACCCAGCTGTAGTTCATAAACCCGAGAAGTCAGTGGCTCTTGTCTGTTTCACAGACTGTATCAAAAATCATGTCAGAGAGCGTGGTTGTGTTTAAACCATTTCCATTAGGTGTTCAAGTGCAAAAGATCTATAATATCTATGCATTTCTTATGTATTTTCTGTGTACAAGTTACGTGTGCGTTTACATGGACATGCCAACATGTATTTTATTTTTAAGCCAAATTGCTGCAGGTGGTACTCCTGGGACGTGGGACGTATGTTTGCACAGAGCTATGACCATGCTGTAGTTTTTACTCTGACTGGAGCGTTGTGTTGAGGTTCTGCTAAGTTTCCTGTAGTTCGCGTTCATATGTTGAGTGTAGCACTCATTTGGGTTAGAGGAGAACTGGTTAGTATCAGTGTATCTGAGCAAATGAGAGTGAGTACAGCCAGCGGTAAAACATAAAAATGTAGTCATATGAAGGTGTGCGATAGCGTGCTTTCTCATTTCTGCCCCAACGTTATTAGCAGAAAATGCTTAGCCTGGAACGCCATAAAGCTCTCTGGTTTGTGATAGGATTCTAGAGCAAGTGCAGTTTATGCAGTTTCGGAGAAATGACATCACCCTGTTAAATCTTAAAAACTACACACACATGCACTAACCCTTTTGTTTAAATTGTTTGTTCAGAAGTTTTATGTAACGGAGAAATATGTTTTCCAAGAAAACATTTAGTTTAGATTCCTATTAGTGTAGCTTTACTCCTTTTATTTGTTAAATACATGAAAGGAAAGAGCTAACCAGGGTATAAAATTCTAGTATATGCGCGCTCTCTCTCCCTCTGATTTTAGGAGAATTATTTCTTAATGTAATTTTCCTGCTTACAATATATGGTCTTGCAAAGTGTTGAAGCAACAAATCTTGGCAGAGATCAAAAAAATACAAAGGCATTTTACTCTGTATATATAAAACAAAGGCTGAAAGTTTGGGTAGATCTCTAGCTGGCAGACTTTCTATCTCTTAGGTCATACAGAGAAAGCTTTTGGCACTGTCTTTTTGGCAAAAAGCTTTGTCTGGAAACATATTTAGTCAGCATATGAAATATGATAGCTCTGGTACCACGAATGTGTCTGAAGATACTCTAATAGAGTTAGGCTTCAGCCCCATCTGGTGTTGGAACAGGATTGCTCTATTAGAGTTTTCCAGCATAGGACAGCCCTTTGCCAAAACACAGAGCAGTACGTGAGGAGACTGACAAATTCATACAAGTGTCAGTTTTACTAATGCCTTCTATTGTTTGCTACACTGATGAAAACCAGTTGTGCCCGTGGTGAATTCCAGCATAGCTGTCCTGCTGCTGAGTTACTAACCACGGGCTCTATAGAGAGCTGCATCTTTAACTGAATGCGTTTATTAATACCCTTACAGTGTACCTATGTGATCAGCAACTATATTTTCACCCGAAGTCTGTAAGAATATAAAATTATTGATTTTTCAATGCCCACGTTTACAGAAGTAGCGGTGGACACACAGATGCCCTCACCTCAGTAAAATGTCTCCAATAATTGGAGTTATGCAACAGTGACAAAGAGACCAGACTTGTGGATTTGGCTTAGAAGTCTTAAAATCTTCAGGCATTAATTCATGAAACTCTCAAATCCTGGATACTCCAATGACTATAAAGCACAGCAGATTCATGTTTAGTTTTTACTTAAGGCTGATCGTTTCAGGAAATAAAAAGGCTCACTTTGAAAGAGATTTTCAGTTCTTTTGCAAATGTTATTTGGGGGTGGGAGGGTAGGTAGAAAAGCTACACGTGAAACAAATCAGGGACTAAAAATCCATAGCTTTGTTTTGAGGGTATAAGAATGGCTTATTGCCGCTATTTAGCTCACGCTAAAGGAGAAGAAACAGGACTTTCTAGAAGGGTTTCCCCAGCATTTTTATCTGACTTTTCCAGGATTACAGTCCAGCCTGTCTCTTCAAACAAAATACCTGTTCAGTTATAATTTGACTCTGATGAAAAAAGTGCTAAAATGGCAGAGTTTGGAATTGCTTGAATGTATTTTGTCACTTAAGCTGAGCTCGTTCACATTCAAAGCTAAAAGAAATTATCTCAGTTGCATTTAGGAGAGTAAACATACTCTTACTTTCCTGTCTCATGTTTAAGGCATTATGTTGAAAGCCATGTGCACTAACCTTTGGTTTTATATCCTTTTCCTAGCATTTGTTTTACTGGGCAAAATTAAAGGTCAGTGGTCCTGAACTAGTCAAGAGTATTATTCTAAATTCTCAGTCGTTGCCACTTCTCTCTCTCTTTCGCTGCTTTCAGTAATACAAGGCTTCGCTGCCAAAGTTTTAATTCTTTATGTATGACAAGAACAGTATTTGCAACTTTTTTTGCATTTCAGTTACATAGTTTTGTAAATTTACGTAAAAAGAGCGAAGACATCAGCAAAAGGCTGCTTGCTTATTCCGAGTCGTTCATAGTGGAGAAAATGTAAGTATAGCCATCAACCTGGTTTTTCCCCGTTCTTATTCTCATTCTCTTTTGTGTTTCAGAATGATCGCTGCTCAAAACAGTAGCCATACTAAGTGAACAGAGTGGAAGCATATGGATGAAATTCTTACCATGCACTGAACAGCACGGCATCAAGCGCAAAGCTCTGGGAAAATGTCTGCTTGCAACACTTTCACTGAACACGTCTGGAAACCTGGTGAATGTAAGAACTGCTTCAAGCCCAAAAGCTTGCATCAGTTACCCCCGGTATCTGAAAAAAAAACCCTCTCACATGGCAATCTGAAAACCAATGCAAACCAAAGTAACAGCCATCGTGGGAGAAATACAGGAAATTTCCGACCACCTGTGGCAAAGAAACCCACTATAGCTGTGAAACCCACCATGATGGTAGTAGATGGGCAGGGCGTATGTGGTGAAATCAGCACACCGGATCATTGTGAGAATAAATCAGTGCCCGCAGGTTGGAACCGAAACAAAGCTGTCTTGAACAAAAAACCACTGAACAATAATAATGAAGACGAAATTGAAGGTTATAGCCATGTTCATAGGCCCTATGGCAACAATGATGGTGTAGGTAAGATACCAAATAACAATAATAATGGACTGACAGAAGTTTTGAAGGAGATTGCGGGTTTGGATACCACACCTCAGCTAACTGGAAATGAAATGAACTCAAGAGAAACCTTCTTGGGAAGAATAAATAATTGTTATAAAAGATCATTAGAAAGAAAGATCCCTCCAAGCTGCATGATGGGTGGAATGAAGGATTCACACAGCAAGCACGTTATTCTGAGTGGAAGCACTGAAGTAATAAGTAATGAAGGTGGCCGTTTCTGTTATCCAGAGTTTTCTAGTGGAGACGAGAGTGAGGATGACACGTTTTTTGGCAGCATGCAAGAAGAGCATGAGAGCTGGGATGAAAGTGATGAAGAGTTGCTAGCAATGGAAATTCGTATGAGGGGCCAACCTCGCTTTGCTAATTTTAGAGCTAACACCCTATCTCCTGTTCAGTTCTGTGTTGACAAAAAATGGAATACTGTGCCCCTTAGAAACAAGTCTCTCCAGCGGATCTGTGCAGTAGATTATGACGACAGTTATGATGAAATTTTAAATGGTTATGGGGAAGAGACTGTGATTCTTTATGGGCAAGAGAGCATGCAGAGCATGGTGTCTTCTGATTCTACATCTCCTGATTCTTCTTTGACAGAAGAGTCTCGTTCTGGAACAACCAGCAGTTCTTCACAGAAGCTCTGTAATGGAGGGTTATCTCCTAGTACTCCTCAGGACCTCAAATTGATTGAACCAGAATATGAAAGTCTTTGTGATAATCAACAAGTGAAGGATGTGTCAAAAGCTCCCAGAAATGTTCCGAAAAGTCTAGAAACTCACAAGGCAGTCCTTGCGCTTCGACTGGAAGAGAAGGATGGCAAAATTGCTGTGCAGACTGATAAGCAAGAGAATAAAAGTTCTTCAGATGTTGCTGGTCAATCTGTAACTATAAATTTGGTGCCTGTGGAAGAGCAAGCTAAACCTTACCGGGTGGTGAATATGGAACAACCGGTTTGCAAGCCATATACTATAGTAGATGTATCAGCTGCCATGACCAATGAATGTAAGGAGAATCAGACTGAACCCTCAGAAACCAAAAATACGTCATCTAACCCAAGCTCACCAGTAACTCCAGGCACACCTATTACATCCTCTGCAGCATCACCTGTACGAGTAAATGCTAATCTGAAAAAATCCAGTGCAATCAGATATCAAGAAGTGTGGACTTCTAGTACTAGTCCAAGACAGAAGATACCTAAGGTGGAGTTAATTGCTAACAGCTCAGGACCTTCTGTTCCTCCCAGGAAGACAAGCCACAAGTCAGCTCCTACTTCACCTACAGCTACAAACATTTCTTCAAAAACTATCCCGGTTAAGTCTCCCAATTTATCTGAGATAAAATTCAACAGCTACAATAACGCTGGCATGCCACCTTTTCCTATTATCATTCATGATGAGCCCACTTACGCTAAGAGTTCTAAAAATGCTATTAAAGTTCCTATTGTAATCAATCCAAATGCATATGATAACCTGGCTATCTATAAAAGTTTTCTAGGGACCAGCGGAGAGCTATCCATCAAAGATAAAACTACTAGTGTAATAAGCCACACATATGAAGAAATAGAAACAGAAAGCAAAATGACTGAAGCCATAGGAAGTAAACCCACGGAATTGTCCCAAGTGAAGGGGGTGACTAATAGCTCTGAATGCAGGCTGGGTTCTGTGGCTCAAAAGGTCCAAGAGTTTAATAGCTGTCTCGGTAAAAGTCAGATATCACCACAGAGAAGTCATAGTTCTGACCACAGCTCCCCATCAAGAGTTCAAAAGACAACACAAGAGCCTGCAGCAAAAATAGACGTAACACCAGAGGCTTCTGTTGGCAGCAGCAGCGGTAGAGAGAATGCAAGCACGGTGCTTTCACAGATTGTGGCTTCTATCCAGCCTCCGCAGTCTCCTCCAGAAACGCCTCAGTCTGGACCAAAGTCTTGTAGCGTAGAAGAACTGTATTCCTTACCCCCTGATGCAGATGCTACTAAAAACACCCTGGTACGACCCAAATCTCTGTTTACGTCACAGTCTGAAATAGAGTCATCCAAGACAGTGGAAAACACTGCCATTAAAATGCAGAAAGAGTCACTTTCACAGCCAGTTGCCACTCACTCTCCAAAGCCAGTGAGAGCCACCCCAAATACCACAAGTCCCAAAACAGAGCAAGCGCCGCCATTTCCTCCTCCGCGGTCCACTTCTTCACCCTATCATGCAAGTAACCTGTTGCAAAGACATTTCAGCAATTGGACCAAACCAAACAGTCCCACCAGGTCGACAGAGGCTGAGTCAATCCTTCATTCAGAAGGCCGCCGAGCTGCTGATGCGAAACCCAAACGCTGGATATCATTTAAGAGCTTCTTCCGCCGCAGGAAAACTGACGATGAGGAAGACAAAGAGAAAGAACGAGAGAAAGGAAAATTGGTGGGTCTTGATGGAACTGTTATACATATGCTCCCCCCTCCTCCAGTTCAACGTCATCACTGGTTCAGTGAGGCAAAGTCAGACTCCAGTGAGAAGCCGTCGATTGTTTTCATGTATAGATGTGAACCGGCACAGGCTGAACCAAAGGCTGACCATCAAAACAAGAGTGGAGCAGAGTCTGCTATCGCCGATGCGCTAGCAAAAGACAAAGGAGAAACACAGGAAAACTCGCCAGAGAGCTCTGAACAGAAAATAGCGAGCCATTCATCACCACCTCGGATTCCCAAGAAAATCCCCAGGTAATCTGCTCATCTTTTTTAGTCACTTATTCAGTTGTGAACTGTCCTGTATATACTGCTGAAAAGGGAAGAAATTAAGGAGTTTTGTTACATTAAGTGTAATTTTTTCAAAATATATTTATTTTCGGTAACTTAAAGCATATTGGATATCGGGATTAAAAAAAAATACCAGAAGCAGTACCTGAAATTTGGAGTTTGTATTGCAGATTCACTAATATGTCACGATAGCTATGTTACATTGAATCAGATACATTTTCCTGAATTTCTAGTTTAAGAAAGTGTTCTTATGTACAGGAAACTAAAGAATTCCTCTGCAGAAATAGAAGGCAACTATTGAAAAGTATAATAGAAAGTAAAAGATCTGTGACTCATAAAAGGTGGTGTGCTAACTTTATCTCACGTGCCCAAGAATACAAGAGATGCTAATTAACTTGATGCTACACTGCAACATCACTGCAGCACTCCCAAAATAAACCATGTAAAAAAGTAATAATAGAATTAAATTATCTATAAAATAATCTATCTCCATTTTGCAAGGCCTTTAGCAATGAATATACGTTGTCCCCTAACAGTATTTGATCCAGTAGAGCTGGTTGCTCCATTTCTGCCTTACAATTTTGTTCAGGGATTTCATTTTTAATTTTTTTTCAAATCAGAATTTACTAAAATGATTCGTTGTTTTAATTTCTGTGAAAGTATTTGGCCAGTATATATTTATTTTACTCCTATGAGCTCATGGTAGTTGAACGTTTTAGGTTTGTCTGTTGGTTTAAAGGTCTGTTTGTTCCCTTATCAAGGGTACACATGCTTTCTTGGTTGTCTCTGAACACGAAGAACCGTGTTTATTTCCAGATACGCATTGTTTTCAACATACCACTGAGTTCCTCCAGCTCATGACAATGCATAACCTAAGAGGGCTGGAGACATTTGTTGCAATCAGTCACGTGGGCATAGTATGCATTTCCCTGAGCGCAGACCACAGCTGTTGATGTAGTAGAATGTCTTCCAATGTTATTATACAAACCAATTCCAAAATAGCTTCAAACTTGCATTATTTAATTCGTTATAACAATAACCTCGTGGTAGGAAATTAAAAACTTTGTAAAGTTTGAGCTATGTGTGAGCCTCAGAAAATGTATCATGGCAGTGTTCTTTGTTTTTCTTTCTCTGTTGTCTATACAAGAAAGTTGCAGTGATTTTTAGTTAAAATGGTTTTAAAGTTGACTTGAACTAATAGAAGTCTCAGTGTGAGCATAGTTTGAGTTTACCATAAACTGATTGCTGCTTGCCTTAAAGTAAAATAACTGTGTCTTAAACTAACCAAGAATGACCATTTGCATATAGAAGTGTAATTAAACCACTTCTGTATCACATCTTGGGAACACCGATACAGCATTCTCATGAAGATCAGGACTACTTTTCAGACTGTTTGCCTTTTGTCAGACATGGACAGCTTTGGGTTTTGTAATGTAAGGTGTTGATTGGGTTTATCTTAGTATGATGTAAACCTGGTTTCTGTAGATTTACATTTGAAGTAACTGCCCCAAATACAAGATGGGATGGTCTCCAAAACCTTAGTGTACTGTCTGTTTCTACAGACTTGGATGAACTGCAGTCTCAGGGTCAAGAATTTTGTTTAAAAAAAAACAAAAAACACCTACATGAAAATTAACAAATAGGGTTTAAAAAAAATCCCAGTGCAAATTGTGGGTGTGAGTCTCAGAAACATTAAGCACTTTCACAAACTATCAAAGTCAGCAGGAGCCGTAAGCATTCAGCCTCTCTGCAAGATGTACAGTACCACAATAACACAGGGGTGTGGGCAATGACAAAAGAGGGTGTCCCTGTGTTTACAGTGCATATTACAGTTTAAGGCTGAAGACAGTGGGGAATGTACCCAGGGCTAGAATAACCCTTGATAGGAGTCTAGTCTCTCTAGACTTACTCTAAATTAAATGGGGAGTAGTAGGCAGCTTTAGAGAGCAAGTTAATGAATTGGAGAAGTTTGTGCTCTCAACCCCGCTTTAGAGGAACCCATTTTTTCTGTTTATTTCCAGGGGAACCTAGAGAAAATGAGGTTGTACCAACATCTTTTTTTTAGTAGCATTACTGACTACTTTGCCATCAGGAGATTCATTTGCTCCCACCTCCTTAGTGTCCCGCTCTTGTGCTGGCAAGACAGTTCATGTGGTCACCTGTGGTGAACCACACTGGGGAAGTGATCCAAGTGAAAAATATCTTTGCAGTTATTTTTCAGCCAGATCAATTTGCTGATCTGACAGGGGGACCAGTCAGGAAGGAGCAGCTGCTTATCTCGTAAAAGGGCAGTAACAGGCTATGGCTGCCGTCATAGTTGGCACTTGTTCTTAGACTGCCCTAGAGATGGTGCTGTTATAATGTTTTATATTTTTGCACTGTTACTGGAATACCTTCTGCCCTTACTGTTGAAGGCAATTGGTCATTCTGTCCTGTCTCATTCACTTACTCCAAAAATATGTTTACTCTTCATTTTTCCACAAGTCATGATGATACTGGCTAAAACCGTATCTCACAATTTTCCCTGGTGAAAATTGGAATTTTCCAAATGTTAGAATTGGAATTTCTTCTTTCTAACAATATTGTTCTATGATTTCTACAAATTTAAAAGAAAATACACTGAGGTGCTGAGAAATACATTGTGGGAACACTGGACAGTGGATATCTTTATCCTTCAGTTATTGTATTCAGTTACCTTGATGCAATTTGATGCCTTAAGTTATTTGGATTTTTTACTTAATTTTTAATATCGTTAAAGAGACGAAGTGAAACCTTATAAAAGCCTTACAAAACGGATGAGATGCTATACTTGTTTTGTGTTAACTCTTCAGGTATTAGTAAGAGGTTAGTGTTAATAGAGGCTAAAATATGTGCATGGAAAAGATGTTCAAAATCTTCAGTTAAGCTTGCAGAGGCTTAGAGGAAAACAGAAGACATGAAGATAGAAATCAATGAATGTGACACTTTTCTAACTGAGAATGCCAGCAAAAGCTCACTGAAGAACCAAACTGATGACCTGGAAAATAAGATAAGCTTTAAAAATGTCAGATTACTGGCGGGTCTTGAAAGCAAATTAAATGAAGATACAGTATTTGCTTACTTTGCAGTGTAACATAGCTGCTAACGATTGATAACATAACCACAAAACAAGGCTGAATGTATTTCAGGTTATCACTAGAAAGGTCAGTTTTTCCCTTTGAACAGCACTTGCAAAATACGCAGTTCTCTGGAAAGCTGAAAACTATCTCTCTGTTATACAAAAGAACTTGGTACTGTTTTATCCATGTGATTGTTTCTTTCTGTTTGGTGCCAGGATGAACATATGATGGTTCAAAAGGAGCTAGCAAATACTTAAGGTATTAAATTTACCAAAAATTTATAGATGGATTAATTTTTGCTAAAATTCAGTAGTCACATCAGCTTTATCATTAATTGGAATGAAAATCAGCTGTTCTTAGAACACCTGTAGTACATGATAGTTGTTGTCAGGCAAAACCTAAAATTGACCTCTAAAAAGATAACATGATATTTCTGGCCTAAGTCATTGTAATTGATGAAGGTGGTACAGCACAGTGTGGAATCCACACAGGGGTTTAAAAAAGACTCTTCAAAGGCTGTTATCTAGTGGATCAGACTGTTGCTATTGGAGTTTCACAAGATAAAGGTTTCTCTTCTCCTTCATTGAGAGATCACTGCTTATACCCAGTAGCAGCTTTTTAGATTGAGACGTCTCCTAAAAGAAAACTGCAGCACAGCCTTCTGATTCTTCCTTTCCTATCTTCGTAAACCACATCGGAGCTGAATTTAAACCTCGTTCAGCACTGTTTTAGATGGCAGTGCCTTTGTACATCAAGGCACAACTGATTTGTGCACAGCCATTTCCATTTCAGTTACATATTAAACTGAATAGTTTCCTTTCAAAGCTACAAGTCAGCCATAACTTTCCTTTATAGGATCTTTGGGCCAGACTTGGATGAACTAAAGGTAAAACTGTATGATTACTGAAATACTTCCTTCAATTAGTGAGCTCTGTCTATTCATTCCATTCTGGTTTAGGTAAGAAAGCATTTCTTCATAGCTAAAATAGGGATTACCAATCTAACTCCAAAAGTGATGTTAACTTTGTCAGAAGGATTTGAAACTAAGCAAGTAATTGATACATGAGAGTTCTGTTGTTCCATAGCTACGGAAGATTGCTATCCTGTTCTTTTATCTTGCTTCCAAAAGGAGTGAAATGCTTAGTGTGCATGTGTATATATATGTGTTTTAAAGATTTGTTTTTTTTCTTAAAAAAACATGCTTCTCCATTGCAGTTACACACTACATCAGCAATTTGGGTTCTTTTAAGGCCATTTTTTGTGAAAATAGCCCCTGGGCATTTCACTGGGCACTTTCATGGGCTCTATACTTATCAGAGGACACAGATATCAAAGCTTTTGGAAACATCTTGTTATCCTTCAAGTCTTACCACAGTGCCACACTCATTGTACAAGCAGTTCACCTGGAATAACTTCCAACCAGACTGCAGCTCCTGACATTAACATAAATGTCAGTGTCAGATGAGAACCTTTCAGAAAATTGGCCAAAGACTGGCATGGTTCCTGCCTGCCATGGAAGCATTTCAGTAGTATAAGTGATCCCCAAATGCTTTTTGCTCTGCTGATTGCCTTGAGGTTGCTGACGGCTGTTCACACTGTTTGCTTTAAATTACAGTAAGCCAAATGTGATTTCAAGAATCTGAGTTAGGCATCAAATTTCCATGTACAGGCAATGGAGAAAGAGAATTCCAGTGAGGTGATTTAGATCACCAAGACTTAAAAGGCCCCAAATGGGTTATCTCTTCAGTGGGTTTTTTAGTAATTTCTGTTAATGCCGCTAACTTATTTAAGGAAAAAAATATAGGTGACTGGGGCTAGAGGCGTGCCACAGTGCATATCATCTGTGATCTGGATTGAGAACCTGAACAGCGTAGGGAATGGAGCTTACATGTAGGCTCTCTTGATGCAGTGGGACAGGAGCCATGAAATTACTCTGAGTGCTCTGTGTATCTAGAGGAATATGAATGTTGTAACAGATTACTGAGTGAAAACAACTGGAAGCATTGTTCTTCAAAAATGTGGTCATATATTAAGATCCAGGTCACATCCAGAGACAGGCAGGAATAACCACCACTGCCACATTCCACTTTCTCATTGTCATTGATCCAATCCTGCAGATTCCACAGCTGCTTCAGAAACTGCTTGAGAAGAGAACAAAATCTTTTAAATCACAGTAGGGCTCTGTTTAAAACAAAGTCCTTCCCAGTTTAGAGGACCTCTTGTATAAGTCCTAAGGTAAGGTTCTCACCTGAACCCAAAATCTTTTAAGTGTAAAAATAAACTGCATAAATTGGTGAGGGGACTTGAAGGATATCTGAAAAGACAGTTCTTTCTTGAGCAAGTCTAGTGAAATGGGAGAAATTCTCATCTAAAAAGTTCAGGTGGAACTATCAACTCCCCCTTCTCCCCAAATCTATCTTGATTTGTTTTTTTCTAGATACCAGCAAGGTTATTTACCTTACGCAGCAGTGCTCAACAATGCTTTTAAGAGCATTAGCCTTCTATCTTACACTGTTTCATCAATGAAAAACTTCTGTGAGATTTTTCTCTAGAATATCTCTATGCTAACAGAATTGGAAATTATGCATGTTCATTAAGCAAAAAGTTTGGTAACGTTTTATGTGAAGATTTGTAAACACTGAGGACTGTTAAAGAGCCAAGTAGGAGGGATTTTACCATTTATTATTTTATAATTTAGATTAAGAAATGGTAAATCATGTATTATTGTTCTTAACTCCTCTAATACAGTCTGTAAAATGGAAAGACCGAGAACTGTAAGTGGATAAAGAAAATTTTTTTTTTTTATAATGCACAGTTAATCTGTGGAACTCATTGCCATTAAGTTTCACTGACACTAAAGAGCTTAGCAGGATGTCTTTACTGGATTATCGAATGTATTCCCATTATCCATGCAAACATTGCATTATACAAGATTTTTTTTTAAAAAAAGGAATATAAATTCTTATGCTTCAGGGCTAAGCCAACTTCTGAATAATAAGAATTAGGAATAAACTTTGACTTAGTTATTTCAGATTGTTAGTTGAGAAGTTTTTTTCATTTTCTTCTTAAGTGACTATTTCTGGCTAACGGCGGTGATGAGGAACTGAACTGCATGAGCCACTGGAATGGGTTTTCTGTACCCTTAATGTACTCTGATTGAAACCTGGGCACTGATCATCTTTGCTCAGTGTTTTGCAGAAATAGCGGTCTGTGTTCTGAGTGGAAGTTCCTGTGTAAGGTGGCTTTTGACCACCCTCAAGCCATTAACCTCTCTGCGTTTTTCCTCAAGCATTATTCAGTCAATTTAGGCTTTATATTAGCTTTATTAGCATAAAAGTATAGGGCCTGAGGGGATCTCTTTGGAACTAAATATATCTACAAGTTCCACAGATTTCATTTGTGTAAAACTAAGTCATCTTCCATGTCGGGCTCTCTCATCTCAAACTGTGCGACTACCATTGATTATTGCTTTGCTGTTGTCCACTCAGGGAGGAGATCAGAGTCTCAGCTGGGTCTAAGGCCACATCAGCTTTTCTCTGTGTTTCTGTCACTAATTTCTGCCACTTGGATTGATGTGCTGTCTTACACAGAACTGTACTCCCTTAGCTTGACCTCTAGATCTGACCCTAATTCAGGAATGCACTCTCAGAATCACTTCTTATAAGTATTCCACTTCATCTCCCTCATATTCATTGCTATTTATTAATCACTCTCATTGAGAAGGTGTGCTCTGAATAGAGGACAATACAGGTCACACAATAGCTGTGATTCCACTGTCCTTACAAAAATTAACACACTACGCAGCCTGCTTTCTGGATTCTGACTATTCCCAAAAGACCGAGGCAAATTAGCCCACATCATCTTTTGGCTATCCTCCAAAAACGGTGTGAAGGAGGAGGGCCTGAGGGAAGGAGCTAGGGGTATTTGTCCCTGCAGAAAACAACACTTTTAAAACAATTTTGAGCTTGTATGTGAATGACAAGTATGTGAATTTAGTGGCATGTTATCTGAAGGACAGTCATTTTTATGGCAATTTTTTTTGCTGCACATACTCTCAGCTTTTTAGGAAAACAAACGTGTTCTCTGTGTGCGGAGGGCTGCTCCCTCCATTAACTGAATAGTTGTTTAGTTTCAGCCACATGTGCCCAAGGAGCAGAGTTCTCTAAGGTAATTCATTTCCTATGAAGATTGTTTTTGAAATAAAAAAGGGAAAAGAAAAAGTCTTGGACAAAGGAGGCTGCGCCCACTATGGTAAAAGCTAAATATGTGCTCTTATGCAAGGCATCAAAGAATCCATCCTGGCAAAATATCTATAAATATCCCAAATAAGGAGATAGCTTTAAGTATCACTTGCTATCGACAAGCAGATACAAAGTTATCGGGCTTTAATGGTTCTAATCTCAGAGAACTACTTGTTTATCAGCTGCTCTACTTTTCTCAAAAACTAGTAGTTTTAACTGTTTAGACTATTTCATGAAGCAGAAGCAATTGGGAATTTGGTTCTTGTAGCTTCCTGAGTGAGGATGTTTTCCCCTTTTGTTCCTTCTGTGTTCTGTCTGATTATGTCAGTCTGTACCCGCTGATTACGGGTTGGCATTTTGCTCGTTGAGTCACTGCACTGCGTATGTACGCTTGATCTCTCTGTCTTTACTGTTAAGCTACAGGGAAGCATTTCCCCACAGATTTCATGGCCTGACATCTAATTGCTGTGATTTAAAATGTATTAGGTTCAGACGCTAAAACTGGTTGGAATACAGATTTGAGATATTCACTTACTTTTAACAGTAGGTTGGTCTAAGTTCTTAAGACTCCTCTTGAAATTTGAACCTGCTTTTCCTTAACTAATTAACTTGACTAAGACCATAGTTGTCATACCAGAACAGTGATGTAGTAGACTGTGAACTATTTTTCATCCACGAAGGCAGTGGAAGAGTTAAGAAGGCAGGGCTGTAACTAACTGATTTCCTGGGGCGCTTTGGCAAGTCCCTGGGACCAACCCCCTCAGGTAAACATTAAGGTGCAGTAGGTGTATCACTCTGTGCAGAGTTCAGCCCTGTTGCTTACAGCTTGCACAACTTGTAGCACATCAGAACACTGTGGAATCAATGGCTCGCCAGAGTTTCAAGACATGATTAAAAGACTCAAGAAGGCCCTGAAAGAATTTCCTTTAATGGGGAATTGTGTGAGTGAGTACAGTGGGTGAGTTGGTATTTTTTTCTTTCTTCCTTTCTAGCTGTTGGTTTACTTTGGCAAAATGCTTCTGAGCTTAGGTTTAGTGTATGTGCTTGCATGTGTCTGGTTTGGAGAATGAGTATGTTCTGTACCTCACCAATCGATACTAAAAAATTACTTTGAGATATGATAATTCCTGGTTTGTGGCAATGACAGAACTGTAAAGCTATCAGAACCTATTTCTTCTTAAAGAAAACATTCTTATTGAGGAATGCAGGTATGTATATGATTTACAGCAACTACAAGTCTTTAATTTCTCATCATCTTGAGAGCCTTGTTACCGCTTTAATTTTATGTATGCTTTACTCTGAAATTATATTAGGTTAACACTTTAATGTGGGTATATTTATGGCACATGGAATGTTCTTCACGCCATTCCTATGCATGGTACTAAAAATGAACAGAAAGTTTTACGCTGATTAAAGATTACATCTTTTTGAACTTATGCCATTTTTTCTCTTTTACTAACAAGTTCTAATGAGTTTTGTTTGTATCAGCCTGCAGTTAAAATTCATGAGTCCGAGTAGAAGCAGCATGTGCGCACTGCACCATACATGGGGTCTTGTGTTATGCAAAGTACTGGCATGTTTTAATCCTTGTAGTCTGGGATTGCTAGAAGATTGCGTATCATGATTTTCAGTATTTTGGCTTTGGCATAGAGAGGCACATGCCTGTAATTTATGTTAACTCTTTGAGGATATAATCTCTCTTTCCACTGTAAGGATTTGTTTTACAGAAACTCAGCTGCTCTGCCTATTCAAAAATGCATAATTTTTGTTTCTGCTCATCAGAAGTTATGTTAAGTTTTAAATCTTTACCACAAAAATTAAATATCTGTACAGATATATGATGTGGTGATCATCTTCTGAAGGAAGTACATTACTCCTATGCCTTACGGAAGTCACAAGTACTTAAAATTCTTGCTGTTCTATTTGATCAGGTTGTAATAATGAGAACTAGTGAATAAGACATATGCTCTTGAGATTTGGCCTATAATGACTATTTGTTTCCGTGAGTGAGAGAGCATAAAGGCACAGAAATATTTTTGCTCTGACATGTTTTATGTGGCGTGTTATTGATAATTGCTGCTATGTTTTCAATAGGATTGGGGTTTTTTGAATAAGCCCAAACTTTTTTTTTATGTGTATATAACGCATAATTTTTAAATCATACTGCAGTAAATATATTCATGGAAACCAATTGAATCCATGATTTTCACAGTTTTGTGCTATAAGTAATCACAGTTTGATTAAAACTTCATAGCTAAGAGCAAGCACAGAGGAATGTCGTCATGGCCTTTTGCTATTGGCCGAATGCAGATGGATTTTAATCCTGGAGAATTTTATACAGGAAATAGATTACCAGCTTAGATGAGCTACTGGTCTGTTTCCCAAAGTGTCGGTTCCCAAAATCCTACCAGTATATGCAAATGTATCATTAAAGTTTTATGCATTTATTAAGACTTAACAGCCCCTTTGCTAGACCTTGGTAACTTTGATTAAAGCAAAATTGTTCTGATTGCTAAAAAACTTAGCACCTTAAACTCTGCTGCTGTCCTGCAAGTCCTACACGTTTTATGCAGAATCATGCCTGCATATATATGTGTACGTATGTTGATTGTAGTCAGCTGTAAAATATTTTACTATCCCTTTTGTATGAAAGGCATGAACTACTACATGTTACTATTTCAGTCAAAAGTTGTTTCTTCTTATTAAGGAAGATAAATTTTGTAGAAAGTTGTTCTTAAAAAAAGGAGGGCAAAAGGAGCTTATTTCTTTACCAGTTCATCCACTTTCCTGAAGATACTTAATGCCTAATCTGGTACTTTGCCAGTAGGATCTAGTACCCAGCTTGGGTCTCCAGGTGATTTTGTTTTGTTTGTTTCAGTCAAGTGCCCGATGATACGACACTGGAGGATTTGTCCCCCCGTGTTCCTAGAGCCGTATTTGTGAAGCAAGACAATGGCGGCAGTGCCTCGGTCATACCAGTATCATCTGTCCGTGTCCCACAAGGGGAGGAAGAAAAGGAAGAAGCTTCAAATTCTCCTGACTTAAATCCTTGCAGTGCTACATACAGCAATTTAGGTAAGTGTATTCTCGTAGAAGAAAATTTAAATTAGATCAGATTTTAGATACATTTCCAGGCTGTGAAGAACCTTGTCTTCTGAACAGCTCGACACGCTCTCATAAGGTTAGTTTTCAAAGACAAACTTTTTAATATTAATTTATAGAAAATAAAATTGTCTCATTCTGAGATAGACAACCAAGAAAGTGAAGATTCAACAAACTCAAAGGTTTTCTTTCCTATGATTTTAAAACTATCTTTTAATTGCCCTTAATGATAAACATCTCAAACACTTTTAAAAGACACATTGTTTTCTATATTTGGAGGAATTTTTATCAAACAGGTTTAAAATACAGAGCAAATTACCTATTTTTTTTAGAAACAATAAGTAGATTTCAATATTTTTCCAAACTTCAACAAAAGATAGGACTTTTATTTTAGAGCATCAATAACTGCGAAAATATTTGTAGTTATCTTTTGTTGCCTAAAACCTTTCTTATCCTAATCTGAGAGTTTACTTTTGCTCCTTCAGAAAAGTTTAAGATATGAATGTCCTGAAGGTACTGCGCAGCCTATTCAACTGTCACTGAATTCCTGACTCATATTGAAAGCATACATGGATGCAGGGCTTCTCTGGAAGATAAGTGAGCAAGACAAATAAGCATCTCTTGATACATAGTATCAATATTATCAGCCTAATTTTCTAAAGCATTTTGATTTGAAGTACTGCGAATTTAGGAATACCTACAGCCAGATTTTCTAGAAGAACAAAAATCTCTCATTTGTTTATGTTCAAGAATATCTGAATACAAGTTTTTCAGTAACGCTCCAACCTTGTAAGCATACCAACTTATTAAGCATTTGGACAAGAGTAAACTGACTGCATTGAGATGGCTCACGAGTGCAGGGGTTTGGCATGTCCTGACAGGTTTGAGGGATCAAGAACTAAATTTTAAACCCTCAGGTGTGTACATTCTTTAGACATTTAGTGATATTGTTGCATTTTTCTGCTTAAATGTGAATTAGTGGTGAGCTTATTAGCGTGTTCTGCTAATGAAACATTAATTAGGTATTGTTTATAAAACATAAAGAGGAAAAATGTCCTGCCCAAGAGCGATACTAACATCTACCAAGAAACATTAACTTCAAGGAGGAAAACTAAAATTTATATTTTTATGGTGAATTATTCAAAGATCTAATTAATTATTTTCAAGTCATTGAGATATACATATATATCTGTATCTATATATTTTCTGTGTTTAGGACATAGCTTCATTACAGATAGAATCCAGGCAGAGATCGAGCTACATCAAAACTATTTATAGCTTGGTTAGCCCGTGTTCCTAACCAGACTGACATATAAAACGATCAAGCTAAGGTATCATTTAATCTATGAAATATCACTTATTCCTCGTGGTGAGATTGCTATTTTTTAGCCAGAGTGCTCGTACAGTCAAGGGATTACTTGCGTTTCATAGCCAAAGTAATGAAGTTGTGAACCTTCTGTTTAAATCATTACTCAATTTAGCGCAATTTTCTTATGCAAGATATTACACCTGATGGCAACTGCTTCATCGTACAGAGTTAGATGTGCTTCTGTCCATAGATCTCTGTCCTTCCCACAGCATCTCACAAACTGGGAGTAGTAAACTCATGGAAAATACCATTAAACATTGGAACAGGTTGCCCAGAAGTTGCCCAGAGAAGTTGTGGAGTCTCCATGTGTGGATATACGCAAAACCCAACTGGACATGGTCCTGGACAACCTGCTGCAGCTGACCCTGCCTGAGCAGGGAAGGTTGGACTTGACCATCTCAAGAGGTCCCTTCTAACCTAACCACTTCTGTGATTCTGTGATCACTTCCATCAGTCCTTGTTTTTGTCAGTGTTGTTCCTGTGCGTGAATGCTCCTTCGTAAAACCGTGTAAAACTGAACCCCTTAGCATTTTATTCAAAATCTTCTCCTCATCCTTGGGTCACTTTCAGATTTGCTGTCGCCAAAGTAAATTTTAGGTATGAAAGAGTTAAATTAACTTTTAGGCTTGACTTGGTCTGGCTTGGCAAGCTTGCTGCTTGTTATTAAAAGCAATGCTACCCTAAATGGCACTGACTTCTCTGGCTGCCGTGCAAACTTTTTTCTGGTTTATTCAAGCAACCTCACTTTCCAATTCAGATAGCTATCAAGAGATTAAGAGGTAGCCATACAGAATAATTCCTACTTGTTTTCACATCTTACATCACCTAAGCAGCAAAATCATATATTCTGTAGAATTAACAAATACTGATGTGTGTAACTGAAAGGATAATATGAGAATATGTAATATAATTAAGTTACATCACATTTGACTCTTGCTTCAACTGCAATTGTATCTACAGTTACCTTTTTATAGCTACATACTACAGTTTGTAGTTTGTAAAATATATCATGTGAACATGGCAATTTGCAGCATAATGCACAATATTCATTTTTTAAATACTAATCTAATACATATTCTATGGGGGTTTTATTGAAAAGCAGATAATATTATGTCCTTTGATAAATGTCTAATCTTCAGTTGTGACATGTCACATGAAATTTTATGAACAGAAATAATGGCAAGCTTTGGTAAATTTTCATCTGCAGTCAGGCAGTCGTTTATATCAGGTACTGCCCTCAAATATATTTGGTTTTGGCCTTCCCCTGCTCCCACAGGAGTTGTCCTATCATCAGTTTACAGTTCTGCCTGCAAAAATTGCAAGTGTGCCAGCAAGTATTTGTCAGGAACCAAACTGCAGATGCAAATTTTGAGAATAGCTCATGTATAAAATATGGGCTGTATTTGTCAGTTCACCTAACATGTAAAATCATACATTTAGGAATTAAAAAAAAAAAAAATTCAGGCAAGCCTTACAAGATAGAGGATTCTCCTCTGAGAGTCAGATACAACATAAAAGACTTGGGGCTTTTAGGAAACCTGAGGTCCCACCATGATGACAGGCTAAAAGAACCCAGTGTGTTCCTGGGTGTATAAACAGGAGAAAACTTCAATAGGAGTAGAGAGGTTACGTATATCTCATTTTTACCCTGCAACTGCCACGGCCATAATCAAGCCCTGGTGACCACAGTTTAAGAAGAATGTTTAAAAAAAAAATTGTACAGGCTCTAAAGAAAAGCTTTGAAAATGCCTAGTATTGTGACAGGCGCTTTATAGTGACTAATTCAAGAAGCTGAATCTGTTTAGCTTATCAAACAAACAGAGTCTGGCTTGGTCATGGTGTGGATGCTCATGTGGTGAGCAGAACTGTGATGAGGGATACCTTTGGTATCAACAATCAACAGATTTAATAAAATCCAGTGGCCGCCAGTTGAATGAAGATGCAGAAACAAATGTTCGAATGTGTAAGGTAGGGCCTGGACGTTTCTTTTTTAAGGTGTGCCCTTATTCTAACAGAAGTTAATTCAGGTAAGCCCTGTAGCTTATGATAGGGAAGACAATAGGCTAGATGATTAAAATCCTTTCCTTTACAAATCTTCAAATTTTTCTATCTTTGTCTGAATTTGTTGGGGAAATTGACTTGATTGTATTTGCATCGCTGTAAGTAGATTAAGATACTCTCAATATACTCAGGATAGTATTTCTATCATTTAAAAAAGAATAGGTTATTTTATTATCAGCTATTTTTCTCCTTACATCAAAAGAGAAGGTGAAAAAAGGAGGCAAAGTTTCTAGGTTTTATGATTGTTGACATTGGAAAAAATCCCAAACCACAGCATCTGCAATGAAGTATTGCCTCAGTCAGTAAGTTAGACCAGGGCAGTGTGCTTTAGCCAGGCTATAAATAAGGTAATTAAATCATTGTTGACTAAAACTGACAGTTCAGTGACAGACAGTGATTATAGTATCAGTCTGATGCATTTTGTATAATATATATTTAGTACAGGTAGTATCTTTTACATGGAGTAATGGAGGATGTGTAGCAAGACCTGACAAGTCACCAAGGCAGACAAGCTGTTGCATCTGAAGTTTTTAGTTTTCTGGTACCTGCAGCCCATCTTACTGTAGTTCTGTGCACGGTCTCAAACTATTGGTGAGAAACCGGAGGTGCGTCATGAATGTTACTTAACAAATGCTAGCTTTCCTTTCTGTTATATATATTATCATTCTGGTAAGATTTTTATCTATTAAATTAATGATAAATGTGTAAACAACTGAGTATAATACAGGATTAACCATCATGTTCGTGTAAATCTGTGTACTGAATAATTTTATAGAATAGTGTTGTACATGTACGGTGTTTGCTGGAATTGGGGCTGTGAAGTATGCTGGTTGCTTTTGCAGTGGCTGGAAGATACTTTTATGCATTTGTGGGTTTTTTCATGCTTTGGTTATTTTTTATCAGTCGGGGTAAGAGTTTATTAAGGAGTGATGTATTTTGTACTGGTATTAAAGATGAGTATAATTGATCTGCTACTCATACAGAGAAATCTTTTCCAGGCTCTGTATTATAATAAAAATGCAGATTGCAAAGGATGATCAATATCCAAGTATGGGGGGGTAAGTACTAGCACAAGGGTAGAGAGGGGGAATTTGTACAGTGGAGGTGGCCAACCTGTGGATTTTACTTAGTGACTACTTTAATCAGGCTTTATAACTGGATTTTGTAACATGAAATGGGGATGTACTGACATGAGAATTACTGGGACATCTGACTCCATTCCTGGCTGTGGGGAGAAACAGGTCAGCAGAGGCTGCCAAAGCCAACGCTGTTGGACCGCTCCAAGATCAGCCCAGCCCTATCTTACAGTGGGTTTCCTGCAGACACGTAAGAGCCGCTAGAAATTCCTCTTTCTCGCTGGTCTCCACTGTAGAGAGTCCACAGTTTTGATTTCAGTTCTGTTGGGGTTTTGATAGATGTGGTCTTGGAAGATCGGTTACCCATGTTGTACATGCATGATTATTAATTTTTGCTTCTCTTGGCAATGCAAAACATGGAATTTTTGCTAAACTGATGTGATAAATTGGTGAATGGCAGAGGTGAGAGTCATTTTGGCCATTTTAACCCTCTGGGTCTTGTTCATTCATCTAAATCCCTGCACTAGGGGATTAGGGATTAAGGAGTACTATAATGGTCACTAAAACTGAGAACAGCAGTAGTAATCATGGCAATAGCCTAGTTACTACTGTGAATACTAGAGTATTGTTTTCAGCTCTGTTTTCTAATTCACATCTTCCCACAAGGAACTTTATCCTTGGATGAGAGATGGTAATGGCATATAATCAGAAAAATGCTTTCAAGAATAAAGGAGAATGTAGGATAGATTACTGTGTCAAGAGTAAAATGAGTTTGGAGAAAGTACAGAAGAAACCTGCTGTCATTGGTGTACTGGACTAACATACGTTATGTATTGTAGGGCAGCATACGTTTCAGGAATAGTTCTGTTCAAGGAAGGATGGAAGCATGCAGCGTGTCACCCACTTGGCTTGCCTAATTCACCATTAGTTGTTTTCCCAATTAAAGAAGCATTTTCCTTCACAGTTCTGAAATTTCTTGACAATGTGTACTGCTGATCTGGTCTAAGCAAGAAAGAAAGATACATGGACTATCAAGAAACCTAAACAATAATTATGCATGTCATTACTGTAAGAAAAACATGCTTATGGAATATAAATCTGAATTAAACCTGAGCTCAGTGTTTCAGATTTGATAGTTTCATGAGCAAACATAAACAGGTTGCAATGCAAAGTCTGATGATAAATCAGTTACCTGGAAAAATAAAATTTAAATGCTTTTTTTTAGGGCTGATTTAGAGTTTCAGGCCTCTGCATGGTGTCTGGAGACTTAAGTATTAATATTTAAATAGCGTAGTGAGCTTCCATAATGGAAGATGCTATTGAACTGTAGAATTACTTAAAGCTCTCTAGAAAGCTGCTGTCTATAAAGAGTTAATTTTTTTCTGTCTTTGAACAGTCTGGAAGCCACTTCAAAAATCTCTGTAAGTGGTAGCCTAGTATTGTGCCTGTTCCTTCTTTTCGTTTGCCTCCCAAGAGTGTAGCTCAGGCTGAACCTTGTAACGTTGGAGAGTCTGTGCTGTAGGTAAGGAAATGATGGGTTTTAAGCATGCAAGGGGAGAAGGAAATGATAGGCAAGAAAAAGAAGCAAATGCTCTGCCAGTACTTGTATGCAAAAGAACATTCTTGTGCCCTTGACAGGGACAAAATTTAAGACAACCTTTTTCTTGCTAGACAATTAATTTAAAAAAATGTGGGACATGCAGTATCACACCATGCTTGGGGAAAGCTGAGCTGGAAAGACTGGGTATGAAAGAAATGTACACCGTTAAGAACTCGGCATAAAAACAGTCCAGTTATGAAGCTTTTCAAACACATAATACAGATGGATAGATTTCAATATGGAAAATCTGTTCTTGTGGGGAGAAACTATACTGTAACAGAACATGTTTTACAAACTCATTTTCCTCAGCTGAGAATACTTCAAAAAGTAACTACATAATGACTTGTACATGCAGTTCTCTGGATCTTGCCACCCCCACCAGACATTTGCAAAGACAACTTCTGGTTATGAAAACTTTCTTCAATTATGTTTTGATGTCACAGTTATGCAAAAGCAACAGCTAGCGAAGTCATTGATTGCAGTCGCAACACTTTTCTGTATGAATGGCTTTTGGAGGACAGGGCCATTAAAGCAGACAGAGAATCAAGAAGAAACACTGTTATAAATCTTACCTTTCTTGGAGAGGGCTTCTGCTGCTACCGCTTGAGATGTGTATCTTGCTCTAATTTGTTTTTTTGCTGTTTCCCTCTAGCATCTGTGCAGTCCTTGGATTAGTAAGTCATACAAGCAATGCATATTAGGAAACTGCAGCCTGAAATAGTAGCCTTTCTCAAAACCCCAGCAGTTAGCCTATTTTAGCATAGTGGGGAAGAGGGTAAGAATCAGAAAATAGGCAAGTGATCTTTAACACAGAATGTTGCTAGGGGGAGAAGTACATAGGTCACAGATTTTGTAAGAGTAAGGAATTGTGGAAGACGAGACATGTTTGGATGAGTAAGAAAATTGGATACAAAGTAGAAATGAACTTGTCTCAGGATTAAGCAAAAGACTGTGGCATCTGGATGTGTGTGTCTGGCATGCAGACATCAATTCTGCTTTTGACTCTGAATCATGCCACTCTTCGTCTCTGCAAAAGGTACCTTTCTGGTAGAGTTCCTGTACTGCTCAACTGGCACCAGTGTTATATGCTGCAGCATATCAAATGGTGAGAGGAAGAGCTGCTATTGTAGAGCACGATCACTGCAATACCAAGATCAGAAAGGAGCAGTAGAGGGTCCCTTGAGTGTTCAATTTTTTTAAGAAACCTTGACAATGATTTGAGAGACATGCAGGGATTCTCCAGTATTTCTAGCCTTTGAACATTTTTATTTTGTGGGAGCTAAAAAGTGATGACCCAGGGGAGTACTCCTATGCAATCTTCCCTGACGATCAGGCATCTACAAAGCTAATGGAATTTCCTGCTCAAAATTCAGTTTTTTAAACATTGGAATATCCAGGCTTATCACAAAATCCGTAAGGCTTTTCTGAGGGTTTCTTGAGCTTAAACAAAAGATAGAGATATAACTTTCATTTGTGATGTCGTCTCCTTGGAATGATTGAAAAGAGAATGATCGTTAAGAATTCAAGAGCCAAGGCTATTCTGTTTGTGGATACATTTAAAAATACAGTCCTCTCTGATCTTCTGAAATTATGAAGTCCTTTTCAGCATTCTAACCTAGTGTTCCAAGTTTTTGTGCATCCTGGCCAAGAGATTAGATTCTGTAGTATTCATAAAAACTGTAACAACATATCCTAAATTGTAAAGGAAGCTATCTTTTTTTCCTTTCATAGACTGCGAAGTAATTTATTATTAATTATGGACCAAAGTGATGTAATTCAAATCTGAATCTGAGATCCCCCAGTTTGGTTCAGCGTTCCAGTTCAGTCCTCTCTTTACAAGGATTCAGCACATATTATAAATAGTCATAGTGTCTTTCTACTTGCTGTTCCCTTATCAGAAAAGATGCTCAGCTACAATTATACAGAGCATCCATTTCATGTCTGCTGTCTTGCAACTGTAAAAATTGGCTTCCTACCTTACCATGATGGTCAATGAACCTCACAGGAGTAGTAGAAAGCTTATAAAGTAATTTCTCTGAAAATACCAGTTGATTATTAAGAGTAGAAAAATCTCATTTTGATATGAGTAACAACTGTTTAATTGTCCCAGAGCAGCGAGTTGGTCATTTGTATTGTCTGTTTATTGTTTTTTATTCTCTCTTATATTATTGTCATTTATTTATTCTTCATTTCCAAGGACTCTGGCAGTTATAAAACATAACTGTCCTCTCTAAAAGCCATCCAAAACACATGACAGGAAGTTTATCTTCCCTAGAAGCACACGAATGTTTGAAACCAGTCTGTCAGTGGAAATCCTGTGCTTTCATGTATGTAACCTGCCATTTGGAATCTCTTGACTGAATCTAGATCAGGTTGTCTATGAACATAGTATTGCCAACAAAGGTACCCATGGCAAGTGAGTGGGGACATGGTGGGTGTCGGCTGGCTGGGGGAAGGGGGGGGGGGGGGGGGGGGAGTTTTACATTGTAGGATAAAAAATATTTATGTTTTTGTAATCTCAAAATATGATCCTACCCTCACTGAAAGCAGTAGCAACACACTGGTCAACCTGAGTGAAAGTAGGCTTCCTTGTTTTCACCAAGTGAATCTGCTAGGGCAGTCCTGACTTTCCAATGTGACCGCCAAAGTATCTAAATTACATTATTTGTGTCTGAAGTTTTCTGGTTTATGGTCTGAAATGTAAAGCATCCACCCACAGTTTTAGCACATTTGAATAGGAAGTAAGGAATAATATTACAGTCAATTGACTGCAGCAGAAATTACGGGAGGCTGGGTATAATTACTGAAACTAGAGTTTGGCCAGAGTGCCAAAACTGACTTTTGGTTTTTGCTTGCACTTTTTGTCATTAATCCCATGTGATGTAAAATGCCAGCATTGCTAGCACTGAAACTGATTGTAGTATATGGGCCAAGGTCAAATAAAGACTGGCTGTATGTGATGATATGTTCATCTTTTCAGATACGTATTTAGGTTTTCTTCAAATATTGGGGGGGCGGTCCTAGTCAGCATTTTTTTTTTTTGCCTTAAACTTCTTTGCAGAGTGCAAATATGAGCAGCAGATGCAAAGTACTTTAATCTTCTATTACTATTATCTTCTTATTACACAGGACAGTCTAGAGCAGCCATGATACCTCCGAAACAGCCGAGGCAACCGAAGGGAGCTTTGGATGATGCCATTGCCTTTGGAGGACTAGTAGACCAGGAGACAGTGAACAACTTACAGCCAACACCACCTCCACTGCCAAAGAAAACAATTTTGAGAGCTAACACAGAGCCGACTCCCAGAGATCTCCAGAAGCAGGCTCTGGAGAACAACCTGTGCATTGTGGCCAATCCCACCTATGACATTGACACCAACTGGGAAGCAAGCAGCGCCTGCTCTTCAGTCAGCCTGGAGCTCAAGGTACTGGACAATGAGTCAGGAGATTCCTTGGACAGGCCTACAGAAAAACTAAGGGCAACCACCTCAGCAACTAACAGTGTTTCCAGCCTAACCACTATCAGTATTAAGGACCGGTGTTCCAATAGCATGGAGTCTCTAACAGGGAGACGCATCTCGCAGACTAAGCAGGGCAAAGGTGTCCAGAAGCCGCAAAGGCAAGCACTTTATCGAGGAATTGAAAACCGAGAAGAGGTGGTAGGTAAAATCCGAAGCCTTCACACTGATTCACTGAAGAAGCTGGCACTTAAATGTGAAGACTTGTTCATGGCCGGACAAAAAGACCAGCTGCGATTCGGGGTGGACAGCTGGTCGGATTTCAGGCTAACCAGTGACAAGCCATGCTGCGAGGCAGGCGATGCGGTTTACTACCCAGCTTCTTATGCAAAAGATCCTCTCAACAATTATGCAGTCAAGGTAAGAGGGGCTTGAAAAACGGTAACCCTAGACATCAGTAACAAAATGTAATAACAATAACCATAATCTGCAACACACCCAGTAGTGATAGGTCCTACAAATATAAGTGTGTGCTGCTTGCAGCAGCACTGTGTGAAAAGTAAGATTCCCAAGAATCAGGCTCTTCCTTCTATCAAGAACCATGTGTGGCATTGGTATCTGCTGTTTAAGTTTCATCTGTTTTTATTGCAGCTCCAGAATTATTAAAACAAAATCAATACAACCTAGTCTTTACCATGGTCATTGTTTAATGAAATATTGAAGAAAAAGCTGTATTTATTTTAACATGTGTCAGCAGTTTTTTGGAAACTTGCAGTAACAAAATCCTAGGGTTCATCTGCATGCAGATGATACTAAATCATCACTCTTAGGAAAGATTTCAGAGTTTTCCATGTTCAGACCCATGTAATTTTAAACGTAAATTCTAGGCTAGTACATCTTTATGTTCCCATACAAGGTCTTATATTTTCACCAGTGTTCATTACCAGCTATCAAAAGCTCTCTCTAGCCATCAGTGTTGCCTTATAAGGTATACTAAAAAAAAAAAAGTGGAACCTGTCAGTGTTAGTTTTGTGGCCTTTTACCAAACAAACAATTGATTTGTGTCTAGTTTTGTTCTTCAGCTAACATATAAAAGAAACAAGATTTACTAGATTTACTGCTAATACATTAATGAATAGTTGGCAGCTATCTCACTAGATGTTGTTACTTTATGGACTTTTATATAGGTAATGCTTTCTGAGCGCTGTATCTCTAAAGTTCTCAACGTTTATCTGATAGGATGATAGTGAGAAAGACGGCTGAGACTCATAGCTCTGTCAGGCTTCCTGTGTGACCTTGAGTAAATCATTGAACTTCTGACTCTTTCTTGTTGAAACTGAGATAAAACATTTATTACCCAACACAGGTGTGTGAGGCCTAATCGATTATTCCTTATAGAGCATGTTGACATTCTCAGAAGGGTGGTGCTTTACGGGAACAAAATGTTGTTACCACTCCTGCATGATTGTTTACAAGAAAGATATAAAAAAATAAAAGGTAAGATTGGTGCAACTGATATGTTCGTCTGAAACTTGAAAAGCATCTTTTTAAGGCAGATTTGTGGCCATAACCATCTATATTTCTTTAGTTATCAAGGACCTCTTTTTGAAAAGATGTGAAATGAAATACGGATGTCTTGTGGATGCCACGTCCAGTGGTACAAAACAGCTGAGAACCAGACCATGGTTCTCGGAATGTTCTGGTAATATATCTGGCAATCTACTCTGGTTGCAGAATCAACAGTCTGGCATTATTTAGTTGGGGGTTTTTTGGTTTTAATACAATGATGCAAAAATGGTTGCTTCTGGGACCCAAAGTGGTATTTTTCTATATAGGCAGGTTTGGGTTATTACTAATGTGATTCCTCTTCATTCCATTCACAGTATGGATGTGCCCTTAAAATATTCCCTCACAGACAAGACTTATGTAGTTGTTTTCTTATCTATTGTCCTCCTAAACATGTTTCTCTTTTAGAAAGCCAGTGAGAAGAAAGAACAGCAATGTAGCATCGTCAAATATGTGCTATATTTTTTTTCTCTCATAATTCAGATGTCTTAAAAATAGTTGTCAGACTAACAAAATTTATTGCAGCGTAATAGGTGTGATGGTCTTGAGAGTGAGTGAAGTAGCCACAAAATATCCTTGAACTGGAGGTCACCATGAGCTGTTGTGCTGTTATGATGAGAGGAAAAGTTACTCTTGAAAATACTCTCCCTAGCACTTAATGTGATATAGGAAGATACTCTCACTACGCATGTTCTCTGATTTCTTTAAAAGCCAAGCAGGACGAGCATACGGGACTACTGCTGTCTTCATTTTCTCTTTCGCATATCTGAAGTATTATGTGTTCAGCTAAGTTGGGTTCTCTTCAGTTGTGTGTTTCTTTGGTGTATATTTTTATTACTGCATTCTCGATGCTAATATATTGAATTATGTAGCATTGGTTAAACTGTGGTTACGGGGTTGGGGTTTTTTCCCCCTAAAATCAGTTACAGTAAATTTCAACTTTGTCTTAACACTTGCCCCAAGTTGATCTTTGGCTTATAAGTCATCAGTCCAGGATCAGATTTGTACAAAATCTCATAACAACAGATTGCTATTACATTACGCAGAGATTTGGGGAATTCAGCTTTAACAACTATACCAGTTTTACTATCATGGGTATTTTTTGTGTGAGCCAAATTACATAATCATCTACCTCCAACAAATAAGCTATGTATTCCTGCCATTTTAAATCCCTTGTCCTCAAAACAGGATGGCAAAAATAGTGAGGTTAAAATGGTGTGCCTATTGAATCCAAAATATAGTCTTCCAGTTATTTTTTTATCAAGTCTTAGAAATACACTTTGAAAGTGTATATGGAGCCACATCTTTGGACAGTGGAAATTTATGTAGCTCTTTTGAGTTTTGTAGAACTACCCAAGCAACACTGGCTAACAATTCAGACACGTCTTAAGTTCTATGATTTTAATATTAGATTTGAGAAAAAATGTGATAATGGGATTTTTTAATTATTCTCTTTGTAGAAAACAAGAGATTCGCCCCCAAACAGTGTTAAGAGTTAATACATAAGTCAAAAAAAAAAAAAAAAGTTTTAATATTGTATCTCCAAAAGTAGAATTACAAAAGCACTGTTAAAAATTAAGCTTTAACCAATTGACTACTGCGGAATTAAATTTAGAAGAATGAACCTTTTGTGCAGATGAATGTACCAGTGCACCTTTACATTCTGGAGGTATCACCAGCAAGAGATGCTCTGATAAATTTGGTGGAGAACGAGCACAACTTGTTCTGTTGGTGTGGATATTAGAGGAAACATTGTTTATAGGGGTGTGTTGTTTCAAAGCATTGTATTACGCTTTTTTATTCACTCTCACCTAATTTGCTAGTAAACATCCTGTGCAAAAAAGTTGCAGGAAGCCATGTGGAAATTATTTTGACTGAAACATTATAAATAAAAACAGTAAATAAGTTGTGATCAGAAAACTGCTTTTCCAAATGGCAAAAAATAGAAGTTCCCTTAGGAGAAAGGTTTCCATAAAATTCCAGTCCCTGAGGTATTTTTCCTTCACTAAGTGCAGTACCATTTCCTAAGTAGTTGGTAGATCTGGGACAATATGGATAAACATTCCCCTGAAACCACAGTCTTATCAGTAATTCCAAATATGTAGTGGAAAAGTAAAAGCAGCAGAGAGCACCAGCTTTTTGTCCAAAGTGGATTGGACAAATTCAATTCTTAGTATCCCTACACAGACTGACTAAGGCAGTGATATGACAGGGATCTTTTTTATTTAAAAAAAAAAAAAAAAGATTACTCAGAATGAATAATTCTGAGTAAAACAAGATAATTACTGTGCCAGTGACGTAAACTACTTCCACTTTAGTATTAAACTCTCAAGGAAATTACTGTACAATATCATAGACAGACACGTAGAAATCATGATTCAGAGTCCACACGGAACAATACAGACATAAAAAACCAGCAGGGTTATGGCCTGCAGCATATGTGTTCTGGCCACGGGCACGTGTTGCAGTGCAGTTCAGGTAGGATAACAGGAATTGTAAAGGTGCAAACAGCTCAAAAGGAGCAGTTAAAATTTATTGTTTTGATTGCTACAGGGCAGCAGTTCTTCTGGTAAAACCTTAGGATTTCTGCTAAGGTTCCTGTACCAAGTATAAAACAGAGCAATGCAGAAGTAAATAGTATTGGGCTGAATTTGGCTGACAGTTTCCTAGTTGCAGCTGACAATTATTTTCGAGTTATGTTTAGTTTGTCACAGTGTGCTAAGGTGTTATTTTGGTAATTCAGTTTCCTAGTGGAGCTTCTTGGCAGAAGTGTCATTAAAGGTCATCCCAGAACTTCATGCTTCAGATAAAAATAAAGCTATGGACGTTAAACTTTTAGCCCATTCCAAGTTCAGTCACAGCAGTGTAGAATTCTGTATTTTGGCACATCGTTAAAAAGTCAGAGCTCTATTCCAAGGCCAGCTCAAGAAAATGAGGTCAATCAGAGATCAAACTGGCCGCCTTGGAAAACAAGGTTGTGCCAAGAGCAAGCTATCAATTTGGGATTAGCAAGCTTTCATTCTACACAGAATTTCATTTGCAGTTGTCCCTCTGTGCAATACAATAAAATAGCACAGATGGTGCAGTCTTTGTGATCTTCTGTGTTTCTCATTTTCAGCACTTGTAAATTCATTTCCCATAATATTCATCGTACTTTAAGTTCACTGATGCCCTGTAAAATGCATAGGACAGAGTGGAAATGAGATTCCCTGCTGGTAAAGTGGAAGTCAGTTGATGGCACAGTAGGCTACTGGACTCATAAAAGAAAAATAAAAGCTAATGCAGAACAGTTTTTTAGAAGCTCTGAAACATTAAAATCTTGGGGGGGGGGAATTGGAATGGCAGGTTGTAAAGAAACCTGTCCTGTCCCTATAAACGTGACAGACATTTAGTTCATATGGATGCACTAAAGAAAAGATACGCGATAACAGTGCATTCCAGTGAAAAGGAAGGTGGAAACTTTCCATTCCTTCCTTACTCATATCTCTCCTTTTTTCTCATTGCGTTCTTGCATTATATGGAAGGGCTTTTTACCAACATTGCTTCATCTTTTGAACAACCAGCTCTATCAGCTTTAGAAATAAGGCTTGCCAAGCCCTTACCAACACCTTTCTTTCCACTATTATCACATCTTCATAGCTTCATAGCTCAGCTGATTGTATTTCATTAAAGCAAATGGTAAATGACTATTGATGCTACTTCCTGTTGGTGATTTAGTCAAAGTATTTTCACCTTTTTCTTTTCCTGTGCCCAAAAATAGGAATTCAACATACTATATATGTAAAAGGCAACAGGATTTCCATATTTTTTTAGAGTAGATGACTGGAACAGACAAAAGCTTTAAAAATCATGCAAAGAAAACTGGGCCATTGTTTACTCACAGTTTTGACATAGCATTAACTGTCACAATCAGAAAAGAAGCTCTGTATCCACTCCTTTAGCAATTCATCACAAGCAGTCTAAAATATTTGCTAATAAGCCCATCAAATTTCACAATTTGTTCCCTAAATCTTTTCAAATGTAAATATAGACTTCGGTTGCGTAACTTACTGTAACTCAAACCATTTCGAAAATTTTAAATCTTGGTCATTCAGATGATAGTTTTAGGTGATAGTGGAGTTACTCCAATATAAAATGCTAGGGTGAGCATTATTACCCATTAATAGTATTAAACACTAGCATTCACTACTCTGTTGCAAAATGGTAATATAAAATACATTTCTGAGTAGAAGCTGCAACTCAGAAAATGATAAAATAGTACAAGAAGTTTGTCAGTAAATAAAATTTACATTGTATAAACTGTCTTCGAACAGATCAATAAGAAAACTTAGTTTGTCTCCACTGCTTTCAGTACATTTTCCCCATTCTAATAAAGATATTGGTAAATCAGAATCTGAACTCTACAGTCTAAAACCCCAGGACTTATCTAGACTCATGCAGCTGTATTTCACAGCAAAAGTCTGAAGAGTAGCCAGACACTTACAGGAGCATCAGGTTACTGCAGGTCTGTCTTTTAGAAACTGTTTTATGAATTCAGACAGGTGTCCGATTTGTTCTCATACTCCAGTTTTTGGGTGCTGCTTCTAGACAGCCTAGCTTTCCATTCCCCTTGTCAATTACAAAGTATCTAGTGTACAAATTTTAGTGTTTGTATAGTCAGCAATTTAATCAGCCTTAAATAACCCAGCTGCCTCTTCCACTTCTCACTTCATGTTGTTTGTAAACAAAAAGCAAGAAGCAGAAAATACATCTCTAATCAGATCTCAGCTCTCTTGTCTTTGTAGATATTGCATGCATGTTCAAGTACCCATATACTTCCCTGTATTAAACAAGAGAAGTAAAAGTGTCCGAAAGCCATCACTATTGGGCATTTGTGGGATTAGGTACTATTTTTTTTCTTTACTGGTTATCTTCTTTAACAGCAGAATAAGGAGGGAAAAACTGTTTTCATGAATGCAGTCATTTTAGTATTGACTTTAATCATAATACTATTTAGTCTTTAACTTCTGTTTTATTGATATAAAGAGAGGAGTCTGAAACAAAAACTCGTATTTAAGAACTGACATTGGGGAAAGTTTCGCTCTGATGTGGATTCAGACTTTAGCGTGGACACTGCTCTGAAGGTGTTCATGAACCACAGTAATAATGTGACTTGTTCGCCCTGGGAAGTGTTACAAGGATCATTATATATAAAGCTCTGTTCTGCTTGATGCTGGAGAAGTCTTAACTGGGATACTGTATTCATTATGGGGTACCACTCTTCAGAAAGATGTAATAAATGGGGAGAATCCAGAAAAGAGCAACAAGAATCAGAGGGTTAGGAATAAAGATAGGAGGAATGAGGGCTGGTTATTTTCGAAAAGAAAACAATGAAGAGGGGAAAAGTTACATTTTCCCGCCTTAATTCTGCTGTTAAAGAAGATAACCAGTAAAGAAAAAAAAATCTAATCCTACAAATGCCCAATAGTGATGGCTTTTGGTATTCACCAAATTGAGAAGTATTAATTGTTTTAAGAGCAAATACTCTGTGGATTATATATTCCTAATAGAATATCACTTTTAGCTGGCAGGTGGCATTAGAAATCCTCTGTGGGTAACACGAAATATAGTCCAATAGCTAAGGGCAAGTGCTTTTTGCACTTTTCTTATCAGCAAGTATGCTTGACCTTAAAATTAAACTCTTTCAGAATGAGTTCATATTTTAGATTAGGTCAGTTAAGTATTTTTAAAAACTAAAGGCTGGATAACAACACACTGAACCTTTTCTGCAGTTGGAATTTATTATCCCCATGGTTGGCTGTACAAGAGAAAGACCACGGACTTGAAGGGCATCGAAGACAAAACTATTCTCGTTTTCCTTAATAGCTGTTCTCCCAGTCAGATTTGATACATGCTGGTAGGGTCTATACAACACTTTTCTACTTCTGTCTGTGCAGTATTAAGTATTTAATAAATCTGGGGGACTTCGGTCTCCAAGACAATCAGCTGATATTTTTCTAATTTCATTTTCTAATTCAAAGGTTAATGCTGCATTTTTGCTGTATTTGTTTAAACTTTTCTAACCCTTGAGAGAAGAGGGGGGGGACTTTTCCATCGATAACTCACTTCACCTCTAACAGCATAAAATACATTTGAAAATTTAAATTGGCAAGAGCCACTGTACAAAGAGGGTAATTATCAACACTTCCAGAAAATTATGACTTTCCTCTCTTAAATAAAATTGACTAGAAAATGCATTTTTCAGATTTGTTTTGTTTGTGCATGGCAGTTATAAACAGGCAGTTTAAGCTATAGTGTACATAATACGTAGGGAAATTTAAATCCTTGTGAAGTATGGAAATATGCACATTATCAAAGACAGGAGGACAATCAAAACACTGTTACTACTTGTGTCTACTTTCATATCATTATCTGACAATGCACTTTTCTGATCAACAAGCAGAAAAGACTAAATCTCCCATTAAACTATATGTTTCTTAACCACATAAGCACATAAAAGATGAAAAACTTTTTTTCTTTCTTCTCTTTCTTCTTTCTTCTCTCTTTTTTCTTTCCTTTTTTCTTCTCTTTCTTTTTTCTTCTCTCTTTTTTCTCCTCCCTCCTCCCTCCTTCTTTCTTCTTTTCTTCTTTTCTTTTTTTTTTTTCTTTAAGTTTATAACTTACCCTACATAAGTTCCTGACAAGGGGAAAAATGAGAAACGGGGAGAAAAGTCACCTTACTGCTTATATTTAGGGCTAGTATGAGATCTGGGCTCCTTGGTGGTTGTGACTGTGTGTAACTAGTGCTGACTTCTACTAACCTTCATTATCTGGCCTTCTTTGGCTTTCAGAGATGTGCTAAGGGAAGCTGCAACTTCGTCTGAAGAGAGATGTCTTCCTATTTTTTCTTCTCTGAGCTTTGCAGTTAAGACCTGTTGGTGCATTATACCAACTAAATACTTAGGCTCTAACCTTGTAAAGATTAAAACATACACTTAACCTTACACGCTTTGAACGATCTCACTGAAGTCAGTAGAACTAAGGTTAATATGCAAAGGTCAACATGCCTGAGTCTTTGTAGGGCTGTGATTTTAATCAGTAAATGCCTTAGAACAGAGGCCCTAATAGAGGTTGTCCAGTGGCTGTTGTAAGGGGATTGGAGCTGCCAGTTGTTATGGCAGTGCAAACAATTAATAAGGATAATTATTATGGTGATAATATATCAACAAGATATTTCTGGACAGAAATTAAATACAGCTGTATATGGCAAAATAAAAACATAAACTTAGGATCGTGACAAATGATTGAAAGCAATTAAGATACCATGTTTAATGAGTTTCTGTTCATCACCTGAGCGACAGCAAGTATGCTTGCCAACAGCCCCTGCCATGCACACATACACCCCTCACTGTAGACATGATGTGTTAGCATGACACAGCTGCAGCTAATAGATTTCAGTTCCTAATTACAGTGGGCAAGGAGCATGCATCCGGTCACTTAACTCAGCTGGTAGGTGGTAACTTGTTATGCCATGCTAACTCAGTCATGTGCAATTGTTTGATCATATCCTCAAATATTCTATGCACGTTTCCTTGTATCTCCTATTGCTATTGATTATTTTTATCTTGTTCAAGCGTCACACAAAGCTGAGAGAAGAACACAAAATAAAACTATATGGATAAGCAAGTAACTGCAAAGTAAGCTTCACTGTGAATTTATCATATATCAGCTGCTATTCTGACTAAAAGCACAACCTGCCTGAACTGTATTTTCCATTGAATAATATATGTACAGGGAGAGCTGCCTACACATATTGGTCTGCATTTGCTTACTATTCAATGGAAACACTGCCAAGGTCAGTTCAGTAAAAACTTTTTCAGAGCTTGTGTTTAGGGCTAGACTGGATACCCATCAACAAGGTACATATTAAAAAAAAAGGATATAGAATTTACAAATTTAAGAGTTACGTTATGTCTGTTCTGTTTATTTTCTTCCCCCAGATTTGTAAGAGCAAAGCTAAGGAATCCCAGCAGTATTATCACAGCCTATCTATCCGGCAGAGTCTGGCTATCAACTTTAACATCCAACAGGACTGTGGCCATTTCCTTGCTGAAGTGCCAGTTCGCCTCCTTCCATGGGAGGACGCCGATGCACCGGAGGTGGAAGAAGAAGAGCGGGAAGAAGAGGATAAAGAGTCTGAGCAAAAGAACAGAGACACTCCTTCCAATACAGAGGCTTCACAGAAAGACAGCTCAAGCAACCAGGGGACCATCAGCAAGCCACGCAGCCGTGTTGTGGTCATCACACGGGAGGTCCCGTACTTAACAGTAGCCGACTTTGTGCGAGAATCTGCACCCCGCCATGCAAAAAGCCCAGATTTATATGAGAGGCAGGTCTGTCTTCTCCTTTTACAGCTGTGTTTGGGTCTGGAGCACCTGAAACCCTATCATATCACACACTGTGATCTGCGGTTAGAGAACCTGCTGCTGGTTCATTCCAGACCAGGAGGCAGCCCTCTGAGCTCTGAGTCCATGGAACCCAGTCCCAACACTGCTTGCCCGGCCAGATTAATAGTGAGCAATTTCTCCCAGGCCAAGCAGAAGAGTCATATGGTAGATCCTGAGGTCCTACGGGATCAGTCCCGCCTGGCTCCAGAAATCATCACTGCAACACAGTACAAAAAGTGTGATGAGTTCCAGACTGGCATCCTCATCTATGAAATGCTGCACTTACCCAATCCCTTTGATGAGAATCCAGAGCTGAAGGAGAAGGAGTATACTCGTGCTGATCTCCCCAAGATTCCTTGCCGTTCCCTCTACTCTCAAGGGCTTCAACAACTTGCCAGCTGCCTGCTGAATCCCAACCCTTCAGAGAGGATCCTGATATCAGAAGCCAAGGGAATCCTTCAGTGTTTGCTTTGGGGTCCACGTGAGGACTTGTTCCATGCTCTAAGTACATCTTCCACCCCCTCACGGAGAGATGCTGTACTTCAGAACTGGCTGGATATCAAAAGGACGCTGCTGATGATCAAGTTTGCAGAGAAGTCCTTGGACAGGGACTGTGGAGTTATTCTGGAAGACTGGCTTTGTTGTCAATATCTGGCTTTTGCCACTATAGACTCACTTCATCGCATTGTGAGAATCATGCAGCAGCACTAGTTTGTAGAGCCTGTCGCTTTTCATGAAGCACCCCCCCACCTCCACCCCAGCCCTCACTCCAGCCAGCCCTAGGGCTCGCACTTTGTACAAGTGTTAAAAAATAGCCAAGATATCAAAGCCAGCAACTCTGAGCAAATAGGTTCTAATTAGAGAAATTGCATCCTGTACGCAATATGACAGAAACTTTACTTTTTTGCCAGGCCTGTTAGGGATTGATTATATATACATGACTGCATTTGGATCAGACAGTATGTAACTTGATTAATATCTGGCTGAAAAGGAGAGCAAACTTCGATACCACTATTTCTACCACTGCAGTAAACAAATTGCCCTCCTCTTCTGGGTAGTTTCTGTCATTTCCGTATGTAGCATTGGTTAGTGAATAGCAGTGACCATAAGCAGAAATGGATTAGTTGTAAATGTGAGACGAATGATCCACTGTGCCACAAAACACTCATTTGCTTCCATTCCACATACCATGCAAAATTTTCTCTCAGCTTAGTCCCCCACAAGTGGGCTGGACTCCTCTTCCCTTTGGTCTCAACCAAACAGATTCTGATCTTTCTCTTACACTTTACACCTTCTTTTTTTCCTCCCCAGATGTGGTTATCCTGCTCACTGCGGCAAGTGTCAGTGGGCAGTAAACATCTGTGTTCAGTCTTATTCCCTCCTTCTCTGCCTCTGACTCACTGCCTATCCATATCCTTTCTAACCACGGATCCATGATTTCAACAATACTGCTTTAATCAGACCGTTATCCTCAGCTTAAGACCTCTGCATTAAAAAGCAGAATATGCACACTTTGTCTATCCCCTTTCCTACATGACATTCACCAGTCTGGACTGCTGATGTACTGTAGCTATAACCACGTTTATACAAGAACAATACAACACATGGTGGGCAATTGAAATTCCGCTTCTATCACAAAAGGCGCTAAAGCCTGACTTGAAATGGATAGGACGTACATAACCTTCTCTGACAATCACTGCTATGAATCGGGGATGAAAATAACAGCCACTTCTTCTGTTTTATGTTGGTTTGCTCTTGTCACTTGTGCCATATTGCAAAGTGGGACTGAAATTGGCTCTGCTGGTATGTTGGCAGGAGATAGAAATGTTTAGAGCTTGTCTGTGTGTAGCTAACAGGCCACATGGAGACACTTTTACTGCAGACACAGTTCTCTGAAGGGTACAAACAAGGGGGCAAAAACACTGTTGTTTAATTATTGAGGGAGCTGTTAAGTTTGGCAGCCACAACTAACAGTATCGTGATCCATTTTTCCCACAGCGGTGTTTGGCTGCATATTTCTTGTCTGTTGTAACTAGTGTTTTCTGATGTTGCTATAGACAACACCCTAAAAGTGGAATGTTGTCAGAATAGCTCAAAGAGCATTG